TGGAGGAGGAGGAGGAGGAGGAGGAGGAGGAGAAAGAATATATTGGATAAATAAATCAGTGTGTTTCTTATTGTAGCCCTCCCACAACATGATATCCTGACCCGTCTCGTAAAAACAACAACAAGGAACACGCACAAATCACTCCCCACAATGGCCTCAGAACAACAAAAACAAAACGACCGTTAGAAAAATATGACATAACAAAGCATTTGGCAGCTCAGTCCTTGAGCTCGTCCTTCGAGAAGGTGATGTTACTGATACCAGGGCCGGCGCTTGGGCGTGTTCGGAAACGGGCAGCCACAAAGAGACCCAGCACAGCCAAGGCCATGCCCAATGCTATCATTCCAAAGGCGATTCCTGCCATTGAGCCTGGGAGCAAAAACCAATCAATGAGTTTTTAAAATTGCAAAAATGTTGGAAGAGGGGATGAGGGTGGGGGACGTATTCAATCATGGGGAACGGGGCAGGGTAGGAAGAAAAGAGTTTAGTTTAATTTCAGTAGAGGTTTTTACGGCGCTCGCAACTGCATATGGTCAAATGAGCGCCAGGAAGAAAGGAGTGGGGCGGGGCAGGAGACGAAGATTGGCAGGGAAAGGAGAAAGAGACGTTTGGGGAAGAGGGAAAGATATGGGTGGGGAAGAGGGAAAGAGAGGGTTGAGGAAAGCAAGGAGGAAGTAGAGAGGAGGGAAAGAGTGGAAGAGAGGTGAGGGGAAGATGGGAGGAAAGGAGAGGGGAGGAGGGAAAGAGAAGGCGGGGAGGGAATAAAGGGAATGGTGAGGAAGAGGGAAAACGAGACGTGGAGGGGAGGGGAGGGGAGTGAGATGGTGGTGAAGAGGGATCGGGAAAGACAAAGATGAATACGAAGGTACAATGTTTGTTGTCATTGAAGAAGGGAAGGCAAATGATGGAGGTATGAATGCAGAGGAAAACTGTAAGGGAGTAGAAAGAAGGATGGTGGGAGGAGAAAAGAGAAGGATGAAGGGTGAAGAGAGAAGGATGAGGGGTGAAGAGAGGGGGGAGGGCAGAAAGAGGAAAAAGGGATGAAGATGGTAAACTATTGCTCCTATTGTTTTTTGTTGTTGTTGTTGTAATGGTTGGTGTTACGACTTGTTTCTTATTCATGATTTTTTTTGTTGTTTATGATTTTTTGGTTTTGGGGCGTTTATTATCCACAATTTTGGCCTCTGCAGATATACACACATACAAACACACACAAACACACGCACGCGCACAACCACCCACCCATACCCACACCCACCCACACACAATCTACCCACCCACCAAAACACCCACCAACACACCCACCAACACAACCACACGCTTCTTCTTTCCTATCAAACATCTATCGTCTTTATCTCCCCTCCTGCTTTTTTGTGTATGTTACTCTCTTGTAACACATCTAATCTTCGGCACTTATATGACCTTATTGTGTTGCAAGTGCCCTAAAACTTTTACTAAAACTAAAACATATACATTAAGAGGTACAAAGCTTACCACCAGAGTAACCGTTATTGCCAGTACTCGCGCTGGTTTTGGGACCTTGGGGATTTCCACCTGTGGCCGGCTGCTTGGAGTTCTGTGAGGACTTTGTGAAGATTCCTTTTTTCACTGTGAGCCGCAGGTGGTGCAGGAATAGGGTGCCAGGCCGCAAGGACAAGGGAAATGGGATGATCAAAAGGGCATAAACTTATGATCTTAAGGTAAAAGCAATATGTCATCTTCATCATCACGACTACCCTTCTTTTTCTTCTTGGGGGGGGGGGGGGGGAGGAGGTCGCTCACGTAAAAAAAGAAAAATAAATTAATCTCAACTGCCGTTTGTGGTATAGCGATAAGTCGCTTCGCCGTTGCACGTAGAAGAGTTTATCGAGTATCTCAGTCATTCTGTTGGGACTTTAATGTATCCCTCTCAGACCAGGTAGGCCATAAGAGACAGATTGAAGCCCACTTTCTGTATGATCTAAATTGCTTTCGTGGGGGTGTACAAATCTCATCATCATCATTGTAAAGTGCCAGATCTAAAACAGATACGGGCTTTCATGATTTTCCATTCTTTTCTCCGCTTAGATGCTCCCAAAAGGTCCATATTCATTATTATCCCGGTGAAACATCTACAATAAATAGTAAACCCTAGAATTCTTCCGGGACGGAATATCATCTTTCCAGTAATTTAGTTTTTGTTTAAGAGAATATAGAATGCAAACAAACAAAATCTCTCACGTGTAAAAACATCGCAATGGCCCAACTGGGAGCCGGAGGTTGAAGCGGTGGGATCCGGTATAAGGCAGGCTTGGCTACTCGGGCAGTAGTAGAAGCTGAGGATGACATAGAAGACAAAGTCTATCCATCTATCTATCTATCTATCTATCTATCTATCTATCTATCTATCTATCTATCTATCTAATTTCAGTTTTAACTTTCTGTTTTCGCGTGTCTGTTTCTTTGCTGCTTTATTGATTTGTCTGTTCGAAGGTGGACCCGTTTTCATCTCTGGCTCCCCCCTTCCCCGCCATTTACCCCCCTCCCTCCAACTGAGAAAGTCAACAATCTGATTCACAAATTAAAGCCAGCCGAAAACATGTTTTGACAAATTCTGCTAATGTGTGATAAGTCAGGTACACCTAGTAATCTTATTATAATGGAACTAAGCGCGTTTATGGGGTCAGAACATCCTTTTCACGCATAAAAATCTACAAAAATCTTATAGGGGGTGCCCACATACGCGATCGGGTCGGGTCGGGTCGGGCCCATCGGGTAGTCCCGGCTAGTCAAATTGAGGGCGCAAAGCGGCCATCGTGGCACAAACCGATCGACACGATCGGTGACATACAAAAACAAACACGTTTGTTTTCTGGCCTGCGAATCGCGCGATCGGGTGGTTTGCAGCCAATCACAACAAGGCTGAGTCACGTGTCCATTTTGACCCATGAATACATTAAGTAATACTCTGGCCTCGATTCGACTCATTTTGGAAGGAAATTTGCATCTTTAAATACATCTTTGCTTCTTCATTGCACTTTACATGATCAATAAAGTTGTATCTCATTATAATACGTTGTACAATAGCAGATTTGTGCTGAAAAACAGCAGAAAAACTAAAATCAAAGCACTTGACCTAGATCTAGATCTAGATTATTTCGTTCTCAGGAGGGCTAAAAATAGGCCATGTTAGACCAAGAATCTAGCTAAGGACGTGTCTAGATCTACGTTCTCTAATGTTTAGTGCTTCCAATTTCCCGCCAATTTTTAGTTTTTTCCAGACCTTATCTACAGGTCCACTAGATCTAGGCCTAGATTCTAGATCTACATCTCGATTTATTATGTCGCTTTGCCTCTCCTGAAACAGTGCTGTTATGAAGCTTAATCTACCCTTCGCTGATGACAGTTCTGATGGCCGAATGGCCGGGTCGAGTGAACAGTGTGTCTGCATTTGATACGCGAAGTATTATTTTGTGATCGTGTGTTCGAATCCCAGTCCGAGCTTTTTTTATTTTTCCCCTCCTTCCCATCCTCCCAACTTACCAACAATTTTCCCCATAATTATAATTTGTTGCTTTTTAGTTTTTTAAAGTGTTAAATAAACCTCCAGTGCTGTCTGTTTTGGTCTCATAAATCATAACACACTAGGATAAAAATAGGTTTAGCTGGTCTGATGTCGGTGGACGCGGATTTTTTTGAGTCGCTTCTACACCGTACAAAAAACTTCCCACATTAGCCTGGCCTGGAAATGATCTTATTTTGGTGGACGCGTAGACTAAAGCAAGTTAGCAAGCAAACAAACACTCACAAACACACACACACACACACACACACACACACACACACACACACACTCTCACACACACACATACACACACACATACACACACACACAGAGTCCAAGAGTACGGTAGGCATATTTTTATGTATTCATGGGTCAAAGGTCCAGCCAATCGTAGCCCGGGTTTACGCCCTCTGTGTAGTTGCATGTAGGTTAAAGGTTTCTCTACTTTAACTTCCAGGTCGTCGAGTACAATCGCGCGGGGCTGTAGTGTGCACTGAAACCCCGACCCGATAGGCACGACTAGACCCGACCCGACCCGACCCGAACGCGTATGTGGGCACCCCCTATTAGATATCAAGCGCACATTAATGTTGAAATTGTCCACTCTATTCAGGCGGTGAAATATCTTTACAAGTACATCATAAAAGGCCAAGACCGCATCCTGATGGAGGTTGAAAATGATGAAATCTCAAGATATGTCAATGCTCGATACATCTCTGCGAGTGAGGCCATCTGGAGACTGTATGGATCTGAAATCCACAATAAATATCCACCAGGGGAAAAGTTGCCCGGGCACCTTCCAAATAAAAAAACCCCAATCTAGTTCCAGCCTGAAGATTTTCAGAATGTTATTGGTCAAGGACCCCAAGCAACAAAATGGACAGCTTTTTTTTTTTCAATATGAATACAGAAAACCCAACAGCAAGAAACATCATCTATCCTGATTTTCCTCACTATTTCACTTGGAATAACAAAGACCACAATTGGTAGAGAAGGAAAAGAGGTGTGAGAAACACAGGTAATCAAGAGGAATCTAGAACTGACTGCATTGGGCGCATCCCCGTGAATTGCAAAGCATTTTCTCACAGGGTCCTTTCCACTAGACAATTCTTGCTCTGTCCACACAGGGCAGAGCTCTACTACTTGCGACTTTTACTACACCACAATCAGTTTTGAAGATCTGAAAACAGTAAGTGGATCAAGTAGCACATCTTATCAAGACGCAAGCAACCAACTTGGCCTGCTCGATGATGACTCTGAGAAGAATGCAGCAACGCAAGAAGCATCTTCCATAAGATTTGGACCCCAGTTACGTCTTGCCTTTGCAACCATTCTCATCTATTGTCGCCCAGCTGATCCTCTCTCATTTTGGCACAAGCACAAATTGAAACTGTGCCGGGACATCATGATAAGAGACAAGGTCACAGAATTAAATCCGCAGATTGAGAACCAAGTGTTGCTACAACTTCAGCACATTCTTGATAATGATAGGTTGGATCTGCATAAAGAATTTCAGGTGCCACCTGCGGAACACACTCACGTTGAAGGAGAACAACCAAGAATTGTCCACGAGGAGTTCAATTTTGACACAAACAACCTGAGAGAGAAGGTGAGTCGAGAGGTACCCAAAGCTTAATGAAGAACAAAGAGTTGTGTATGATGCTGTGATAGAGTCAGTTGTAAAGAATTAAAGCAAGATATTTGCCAAGGAGGCAAGTGGAGGGACTGGGAAAACCCACACTATAAACCTGATTCTTGCGACTGTCCATTCCTTTAAGAAGATCACCCTTGCCACAGGGCTCTCAGGCATTGTAGCAGCTCTGCTCTCAAATGGCAGAACATTACAAAGCAGATGCAAAATACCTCTGTGCCCGAACGAACAGTCCATGTGCAGTGTGAGCCCCCGAGATGCTAGTGGCACTTTATTACGCCAAACAGAGCTGCTCATCATTGATGAAGTATCGATGGGCAACAAACACATCTTTGAAGCCATAGAGGGAACACTTCAAGACATATGTGGGAATAACGCTCTGTTCGGTGGGCTAACTGTGCTGATGTAGGGTGACTGGCACCAAATACTACCAGTAGTTCGCCAAGGCTCAAGATCATAGATAGTCAATGCAACCCTGAAATCATCATATCTGTGGGAGCATGTTAATGTGCTCAGACTGACAAGAAACTTAAGGGTTTTGCTCACAGGTGAGACTGCTGATTTCTCTAACTATCAACTGAACACTGTTGATGGCAAACACAACATATGCAAGCAAATCGGGGAGTTTGCGATAAAACTGCCAGATGACATCACAGAAAAGAGCGAACGAGAGTTGATAAATTTTGTCTTCGGTAACTTGCAGTCGAACACAAATCCTGGCTTCCCGCTGCATCATCTATCCCACCAACACAGAAGTAGACAGAATCAACAACCTGATCATACAGTCCTTTCCCGGAGAAGAAAAAGTATACAGGGCCAGTGAATCGGTGGAAGAAAATGAACACCAATACTCCATCGAATTTATCAATTCTCTATGTCCCTCAGGTATGCCACCCCACAAACTGACATTGCGGAAAGACAGCATTGTTCATGCTGCTGAGGAATCTGGATCCCACAAACGGCCACTGCAACGGGACTCGATATGTGGTTCAAAACTTCATCAATATGTAATTGATGCTCTCGTTGCTTGCGGTCCACATGCGTACAGAGATTTTTCATCCCAAGGATTCCCTCATGCCTTCAGACAACATATTTCTCTTCCATATGCGATGGAAACAATTTCCGGTTAGACCTGCTTTTGCAATGATCGCCAACAAAGCTCAGGGACAGACTTTGAAAAGGATAGCGGTTTCTTTACGAGGCGATTTATTTCACATGGGCAATTATATGTCGCAATGAGTCGCGTTGGGTCCAGGGACTCTATTAGGGTACATGCCAAGAGACCTGCTGCCCAGGACGGAGTTCCAGATGGCGCATATACCAGCGATGTTTTCTACACAGAAGTCCTACGGAAAGGAATCAGGTACCGGTACAAACATTTTATCGTGGGGTTTTTCTATCACTATATCACCGTTCGTAGAACGGGTCTGTGTCCAGAAATAATAATGATGATAATAATAATAACAAAGGTGGAGATGATGATGATGATGGTGATGATGATAGTAATAATAATAATAGTAATAATAATAATAATAATAATAATAATAATAATAATAATGATAATAATAATAACAACAACAATAATAATGATAATGATAATGATAATGACAATAATAACAATAACGGTACGTTATAAAAATAATAACAACAACAACAACAATAATAATAATATTGGTGATAATGTGGAAATCTGACGAAGATCACATACGCAAAAAGACGATTACTGTGGTTAAAACAAATAAAAATTTACATGAATTTAGATTTAAATACATTGAATGCTTTTTACAACAGATTTAAATGCTGCCAAAGTAGTTGCCTCTATCTCTTAAATGTAGTGGGTAGGAAGTCCCCCCTGAAGGAACAGGTGTCGAAAACCCCAATGCCCAACTTCAATTTTATTTAGCTTTACAAACCACAGTCTACAGTTGTTTTTTCTGTATTTATGGATCGCAAATGTCGCAATGGAATATATTCATGCATTAAATTAAAAATATATTGTGGTCCAGATCACATAACACATTATTAAAACATCATAACACATTATAACACATTACTGCAACTTATTTAATAAACACGGCTTTAACAAGATCAATGTAACTGTAAAAGTAATGGTGAGGCGTGTTCTTTTAGTGGCCTTTTGAGAACAGTTCTCGCACCTTGGTTCTGGGGTCTTTGAAATTTATTAATTAGTTCTGTTGGTATATTTGTAATAGACATACTATTATCATGTGCAAATGTAGATTAAGACTGAAGAATGGAAGACAGATCAATTAATTTGTTCTTATGTTTTGAAAGGAGTTTTTGGATGCTGTCAGACAGAAAGATGGTCTCTGACATTATTCGATAAGAATGGACACACACACGCACACACACACACACACACACACACACACACACACACACACACACACACACACACACACACACACACACACTCACATACACATACACACACACAAATACATATTATAGACATACACACCCACACCCACACCCACACACATACACGCATACACGTACACACACGGAGAGAAAGACAGGGAGGAAGACAAAGAGATATAGATAGATTGAAAGATATATATATATATATATATATATATATATATATATATATATATATATATATATATATATATATCTGAGATCTATCTATATTTAGCGAGCGAGCGAGCGAGAGAGAGAGAGAGAGAGAGAGAGAGAGAGAGAGAGAGAGAGAGAGAGAGAGAGAGAGAGAGAGAGAGAGAGAGAGAGAGAGAGAGAGAGAGAGAGAGAGAGAGAGAGAGATTATTAGAAAGACAGAGCAACTGACAGAGATTCAAATCGTTCACCAGACAGATAGACAAATTTACAAATAGCAAGAGAGTATGCTAACCAAAGGCTAAAGACAAATAACCAATGAAAGACACAGACACTGCCCTAGGACACATTGGCACTAACATCAACCAATCATCTGACTTCCCGTCAAGCATTTAACCAATCAGAGGTGAGTGTAGAAAAGTGAGGAGCCAATCACGTACGTGTTACAAGGGATGTCACCAGAGGAGCATTGGGCCGCACAACTGTCCGGTCTGATGCCTTTGACAACGTGCACTTTGGACGGGTTATTTACTTTTTTTCCAAAATTGTAGTCGTAGTCGAAATAGTAATCCACTGTGGGAGGTAAAAAAGGGGAACGGCGGGGGGGGGGGGGGTGGCGTGTGTGTGACTGAGTGAATAAAAACAGCGAAAGAGAGAAGGCGATCAAGTAAGTGACCAGGCGAGAGAGTGAGCGAATGAGTGAATGAGAAAGTGAACAAAAGAAGGCAAGCGAGTCATCGTATGAGTGGAGAATAAATGAGAGACGGCAAGTGCATGACCGAGTGGATGAGAAAATTAAAACAGTACTTTTGAGTGAGTAAGTAAAGGGCAGAATACGAGAGGGCAAGCAAATGACTATAAGGGGATAAGAGAAAGCACGTGGTGGATTGCATGCCTGATTGTAAATTATGATCGTAAATGATTTGCGCCCACGTCAATAGGCCTACCGTTTTAGATCATAGGAGGAGGAATACTTTGATTTTATGTGGTAGTGACAACCACGGCGGAGTAAGATACTGCAAATAAGGAGAAAGCCTGAGATACTTTTAATAAAATAACCTTCTTTTATGTTTTAGTAAGAGTATTAAGGCACTTGCAACACGATAAGGTTAGGCTACACAAGGGCAGATGATTAGAGGTTTTGCTAATGAGTAACGTACAAAGACAAAAAGGAGGATAGATTAAGGGGACAGATGTTTGACAGGAGAGAAGAACTAAACCATACCAAAACGCCCACCAACCATCCACTAAAGTAACTTTCCGACATGGGACTTAAATTATTTCATGTTTTCTGTATTCAGCGAAGAGATTTACGATTACATCAGCGATGTCGGTACTGAGTCAGCCGAGGGAATACTAGAAAGCGAGTGAGTAATTGAGAGAATGAAGGAGCTAAAGATTGGGAGAGCGCGAGTGAGTGAGAGGGTGAGTGAGTGAGTGAGTAAGTGAGTGGTGGAGTGAGTGAGTGAGTGAGTGAAAGACGATAAAGTGACCACGTGGAAGATAATGAGAGACAGAGAAAAAGTGTCTTCTCTTTCTCTGCCCACAGTTTTGATAAAGGCAGGAAGGAAGAACAATGAGTAAACGATAAGGTAACCAATAACACCAGCAAAGAAAGAAATCAAACACTGAAGAACATAAGACCCCCCAAACAACAACAACAACAACAACAACAACGTCAACAACAACAACAACAACAAACAGCCCCCCCAACCCCCCCCACCCCCCAACAAAACAACAACAACAAACAATAAACCCAAACAAACCCTCCTCAAAGAAAAATAAAGAAACAAAAATAAAACTTAAATCCCCCCCTCCCCACCCCTGTAAAAAATCCCAAACAGTAACACAGTTCCCTCACAGGAGTAGTGTGTGCACGTCGCGTTGTCCTGCACGTCGGTCGACTCGGCCGTGTAGTAGTGAGTCTTGCCCAGGGCACAGGTGCCCCCGCCAGTGCAGAGGTCGAAGGACTCGCACAAAAAGTCTTTTGTTTGCTTGCACTTGCGTGCGCAATCGTTCGGGTCGGTCACTTGAGTGAACGTTTCCACGGCTTTCTTGGAGAGAACTGACTTGCCTGGAAACTTGGTGAACTCGCTCAAATACGTGCCTGAAAAGGGAGTGTACCGTAAGGTGATAGGTGAGGTGAGGTGAGACATACGATGAGACATAAGGTATGATGTGAGGGGTAAGGTGACAGATGAGGTGATATACAGTGTGGCGTCCATAAGAAACTTGAAAATGTAATCACTCATTCATTGTGTTAAAGCCTCTCATTAACCACGCATGCAGCATGCCAATTTAAAGATTAATAAATTCTGCATTATTTCACACATTATTAATTCCTCCACGTTAAGAGACGCCAGAGATATGGTCACTGAAACTTGACTTTCAAAATTTAAGCTTGGCAAAATTGTATGAAATCAAAGAAACGTAAAATTGTCTTCGCGCGTGTATTGAGGAGCATCAATATTGATAGAAATGGGCATACATTGCATATCTAAAAATGGTGAATTTTATCTCTTCAACAAGCGATATTTTATTACAATATTTTGTCACGACAGTTTCAGACTAAATGGAAAACTAATGGAAAAAAGAGCAATCACAAATACTACACAAAAGTTGGACTCTACATTAAATGTGCTTATTGTTATTTAGCTTAGGGGCCATTGGTTTTGTGTAGTGCACGAACCCTTTGGGTATCGATTCTATTAACTTTTATACATAATTATTTGTCATTTCATCACCAATGTCACAGAGAGTTGCAAACAAAGAGTCTGAATTGGGAGCAAAGTCCCTTTTCTTCAGCAGCTGTTTCATGGGACTTCACATACCTCTAGGATTCCGGCAGCGGAAAATCGAACAGATTTTTAAAAATTTATATTGTTAAAAGGTTCAAAGGAAATTCCCAAAACCTGATGGAAAATTGTGCTGGGATTTTCGGTAACGAGTATTTTTTTCGGTTGCACAGGTATTCGACATAATACCGACTTGAAATTATATGAGTTTAAGTTGTAGACCTCTTCCGTTAGCCAAATATAAACTCTGGGTTTTTTCACCTCATTGTATACACATTTAAAAAAATGTATTCAGGCATTTATAAATGGATAAAACAGTCTTGATATTTGTTGCCCTCTGCTCACCACGGGGAGGTGGAAGACGAATTTCGAGCAGGATGGTGTCTTTGTGAGAGCAAACTTCTGCCAGGCTGTAGGGAAAGCCTTTGAGTCGGAGCCCTTTTTGTCCTTTCTATGTCTCGAAAACATTTTTAAGCGCGACTAAATTGCATCGGGCATACACATCTATTTGTACAGGTCCGCTTATATAATATATTTACTTATTTTCTGGTTCTTCTGAGGCAAACTCGCCAACTATTTTCAGCTAAACAAAGAGCTTCCTTCGACACCCAACCTGGAGCAGGGGTCATCTACCTTAACGATTTTCAGTGTTAACTCAATCGATACCATACTACCATACTAAAAAACCTGCACAATTTACTGTACATAGGAAGAGCAGCTTCTTGAGTAATCCGTTGCTTAACAGGATAAAACATGCGCAACCCCCCCCCTTCCCAGGATTCCAATCGGGGCTATTTACTGGTGACCAATCCAACGTTGATTTGATTTGGTTTTGTAAGAATTGTCTAGTGGAAAGGGCCCGGAGAGAAAATGCTTTGCTATACATGGCGATGTCTACTTGAATGATACAGTGACGAAAATAAGGGTAGAATATGACATTCGAGCTCTTGCGCGATTTAGTCCACTAAGCTAAGCCATCCGGAGATTCTCACGAGGGTGGTTCTGTTCATTCTACCCCTGCTCACTCCAAACCATGGCAGTTTCGTGGCCTCTGTTCCTCAATGACTGATGGTTAAGTCCAAAATCTAACTAAAACAACCCAATATACAATAAAAAGCACGTAACCATAAGCTCTTAAACACAAACAAAATTAAACCCAATTAACACGTATAGCAGATACGTCCAGGTTTTGCATGGTATTTGTAACTGCTCTGTTTTTCAATCTGTTTGAAAAAATCATCAGAACATGTTGTTTATTACAGAGACAATAATATTCAAAAAAAAAAAAATTGATATTCAATACAAATTACAATGGCTAAGGCTAGTTTCAATAAAAGGAGCCCAATCCTGAAAAATAGAAACATCTCAATGAACACCAAAATGAAAGTTCTGAAATGCTTTGTATGGTCAACTCTTCTATATATGGCTGTGAATGCTGGACAATCACTAAAGAGAGTGAAACAAAATAGAAGCAACAGAAATGTGGTTTATTAGGAGACTGCTAAGAGTATCGTGGAAGGAGAAGAAATCAAATGAGGTAGTGCTTGATGAAGCCCACGTGGGACGCTCAATGTTAAAAACAATCAGGAAACGACAAATGCAGTTTTTGGGACACCTGAATAGATATAAGGGTGTTGAACATCTAGCTCTCACTGGCAAAATTGAAGGCAAACGGGTAGGCCAAGAGCAACATACTTAGGAAACCTTTAAAAAAAAAGGGGTAACAGGAAACAGCAGGGAACCGTAGCTTTTTTGAGAGCATCCGAGCAAAGGAATGAACGGAGAACCATGATCGCCGATGTCTGTCGCAGATCTGGCACTGGATGATGATGATGATGATTCAATACAAGTCCATTCCACCAATGTTGAAACATCTCAATATACGAGCGTACACACTTTTACGTTTCTCTGATTTCGCACAATTTTTTCCAACGCTGATTTTAAAAAGTCAGTTTTGATTGGCCATATCTCGGGTGTCTCTTAACATAGATGAAATTTTGGTATGTTTTATGATGCAGAATTTAATTAGCTTTAAATTGATCTGCTGCATGAGCGGGTAATACAAGGCTATAACAAGGTGATTGGGTGATTACATTTTTAAATTTCTTTTGGACGCCACTGTTTAGGGCGACGATGTGAAATACGAAGTGAGAGAAGGTGTGAGAGGTGGGGGTGAGACGGTAAAGCAAAATGATACATAACAACATACAAAAGATGAAAGGAACAGAGGCAACCAAAAAAAAAAAAAAAAAAAAAAAAAAAAAGGCGTAAATTTGTGGTGAGATGGCACTTAATTTGTTCATGTATGGCCGATTGGAGTTTAATGAGGGTCAGTGCTAGAAACGGATGAGTCACGAAACTTCAAATAGGTCGATCGCCAATGTGATTTCTTCAAAAAATGGAAAAAAACCCGGAATGGCCTAAAGACACTCCAGTCAGGGGCACCGCCCCGGGGGTAGTATCTGTCTGTCTGTCTGTCTGTCTGTCTGTCTGTCTGTCTGTCTGTCTGTCTGTCT